CATTTGTTCAGTCAAATCCCTTGAAAGTGACGGCGATTCCAGGCGGTTGGTGCGTACCAGGGCCGCTTCCTCTGCGGTTTCGCCCCACAAGTCTGATCTAACGGTCCCCTGGGCCTTTCGCGCAAAGGTTTAAAGATGTCAGCTCTGTGACGATGCTTTAGGCCCAGTGAATATGCATAATCATAAGCGTGGATGTGTGTCAGCCGTGCAAACAAATAATTGTTTATTGGTCGTGCAATCAAATCACACTTGGCTGGTCTTGCATATGGAGAATTACAATACCAGTCAAAAGTTTGGAATAATTATGATTTTTTTTTTTAATGTTTTTGAAAAAGTCTCTTCTGCTTACCGTGACTGCACTTATTTGATGGAAAAATACAATAAAAACAGTAATATTGTGAAATATTATTACAATTTAAAAGAACTGCTTTCTATTTTAATATATTTTAAAATTTAATTTATTCCTTTGATGGCAAAGCTGAATTTTCAGTGTCACACAATCCTTCAGAAATCATTCTAATATGCTGATTTGGTGCTCAATAATTCGTAGTACTCAATTGTTATTAATAATAATGATTCATCATAACAGTGAATAATAAAAATCACACTTGGCTGGTCTTGCATATGGAGAATTACACTACCAGTCAAAAGTTTGGAATAATTATGAATTTTTTTTTTGAATGTTTTTGAAAAAGTCTCTTCTGCTTACCGTGACTGCACTTATTTGATGGAAAAATACAATAAAAACAGTAATATTGTGAAATATTATTACAATTTAAAAGAACTGCTTTCTATTTTAATATATTTTAAAATTTAATTTATTCCTTTGATGGCAAAGCTGAATTTTCAGTGTCACACAATCCTTCAGAAATCATTCTAATATGCTGATTTGGTGCTCAATAATTCGTAGTACTCAATTGTTATTAATAATAATGATTCATCATAACAGTGAATAATAATAAATATTAATTATTTTTGTGTAAATATATTTTTGATACTTTTTTTTCATGTTTCTTTGATGAACAGAATGTTTATTTGAAACAGAAATCTTTTCTAACATTATTACTGCCACTTTTGATCAATTAAATGCATTCTTTCTGAATAATTTTTTTTTTTACTTACCCCAAACTTACCATGGATTCCACAAAAATATGAAGCTGCACAAATGTTTTCAACATGGATAATAATCAGAAATGTTTCTTGATCATCAAATCAGCATATTATAATGATTTCTGAAGGATCATGTGACATTGAAGACTGGAGTAATGATGCTGAAAATTCAGCTTTGCATCACAGGAATAAATTACATTTTACAATATATTACAATAGAAAACAGTTATTTTAAATTGCAAAAATATTTAATAATATTTCTGTTTTTACTGTATGTTCGATCAAATAAATGCAGCCTTGGAGAGAAGAAGAAACTTCTTTCAAAAACATTTTAAAAAATCTTAGTTATTCCAAACTTTAACTTGTAGTTGTAATTGATGATGAATCCATTGATCTGTGGGGGAACAAAAGAAAATAGTTTGGTTAGTATTCACAAAAAGACTAGTGATACAAAATATATTTGCACACTTTTATCACTGGGAGACAAAAAGCGTTGCATTTTTACATTTCAATTATGCATTTTATAGAAGCTTTTATCCAAAGCAAATTATATTGCATGCAAAGTATACATTTGATCAGTCCATGCATTCCCTGGGAATCGAACCCATTGCCTTGGCATTGTTATAGCACTATCCTCAACTGTTCAAGCAACAGGAACTGTCTCTATCATACGGACTAAAGTGATGAAGTTATTTTATTCCATCCTCTCTGAATCACTAATCTGAGTTGCTCTAACAGTCTCAGGCTTCAGCAGATCTGAACTCTGCGTGACACACGTTGCCTCAGCTGCGTTTCAATTCAACACATTTAATGGTCTCCTGGATGTCATACGAACTGAGAGACTTTGACATTTATTTGGGACTAACACACAAAGGAAAACACTTGGAATTATGGCACATGAGCTGGAGTCACTGTTTTAGGAAAGTCAAAAACATGGCCTGAAACCATAATGAGGACATCCCGAGCTTTAAATACACTACATTCACAACTCAAAAGACAATTTAAAGTGACAATTCTCATCATTTACTCACCCTCAAATTGTTCCAAACCAGCATCTGGTGTCAAATAGTTGACGGTAGCCATTGACTTCCATAGTATTGTTTTTCCACTGTGGAAGTCAATGGCCACCGGCAACTATTTGGTTACCAACATTCTTCGAAATATCTTCTTTTGTGTTCAACAGGAGAAAGAAACATACAGGTTTGGAGTAAATGACAGAATTTTCATTTTTGGGTGAACTGTCCCTTTAAGAAGAACATAAGTGGTTATTAAATGCAGATGCATCTTTCCAGTTTGATATTAAATGTCCCAAGTCTCCGCAGCGAGCCGAGCCAAAGCTGAACAGTCGACAGTAGCGACTCCAGGCCAAAACCAGAGACAAGCTAAACAGACCACCTCCCTGTCCCTTGTTTCATGATGTTTCTCTCTCACCCATATCATCATTGTTTATGGCCATGCATTAATATTCATGCACGTCAACATGCATCAAACCGCTCGTCTACTCTACACAGATGTCTCTCATTTCGATGACACCTCGAGACACTGTCAATAATCAACAGCTGACGAGCACGGCAGACCCTCTGTGCCAAGTGCTGATCTCCGAACAGCAGATCCAAATCCCAAACAAAGCCCCTGGTTTTGTGACAGATCTGGAGACAGATCTGCGAGACTTCAATTCCCCAGTCTCACGTTGTCGTTCCCACAAGCCTCCGCCTCCGTCAAGTGCAGTTGTCAACACAGGAACACATGTTCTATGTTAGGCCGCTGTTTAACAGCAAGAGTCTGGTTTGGTAAAGAGCCGAGGCCACCGGTGACTGCCGAGGCCGTCCGGAACAAAGGGACAGAAGTGGGAATCTAAAGCAGACTGTGTAAGCGCTTTTGGGAAAGTCAAGCCCTGTAATCTCATTGCCTGATTTCATAGAGTTTAACCAGTCGTTCCACTGAAAAGAGGCTGCTGTGTTAATTCTGGACTGGGGCGCCAGATCTTTAGTTCTGCGATGGGAAACAAGAAACAAAGCACACATTTAGAAACAAGTGCACTGTAAAAAAAATCCGTAAAATTTACGGTAGAAAACCGGCAGCTGGTGCATCGATAAGTTTTGCTTAGTTTCGAGTTTACACTTGGTGTGAACAATTCTGATGGATTTCCTCATAATTCTGAGCTTATATATCACAATTCAGACTTTATTTCTCGCAATTCTTGCTGCTGCGTGTTTTGAGTTTGAGCTCCATCAAGTTAATTCTTTATCGTCTATTTTTTATCCTAAAATCAATTTTATACACCATCATTTTCGTTTCTGTAACGTGTGAATATATCCCCTATCGTATTCTACAACAAGAACAATCAGAGCGCCTTGTTATCACTAGTTTTATTTTGATTTCCCGAGTCTGCAATTAGCTTATAGCCCGTTAGCATCGCCAGCTTGGTTGCCCCTAATCTCGCTTACATTGCTAATACTCTATTCACACACATTACCATTGTTTTACTCACAGTTACTTGCTTTAATGGCGGATGTGTGTCTACCTTTGAGTGCAGGTGAGGACCGACTGCAGCTCGAGCTGGAGGCCGTGGAGAAGTAGATCTGTGACCTGGTGGAGAAGCAGGCCCAGCTGAGAGAGTGGAGAGTCGCGCTGGAAACATCCTGGGCTGACGCTCACAAGTCTGGGGTAAGTATACAGTGCACTGCTAACACTCCCACCACCTCTACTCCGTGTGTTTCTCTGCATAGGGCCCGATCTTCCCAGATGTACTTCACTCCGGCTCCGGGACACCACGGACCCTGGGTGCACCCCGCAGCGGAAGACGCGAGCCAGGCCCCCGGGCGAGCTACCTAGGCTTTTTCGCACTGATGGCCTGCACCCCAGCAGAGTCGGAGCGGAATTCCTGTCGGACAACATCTCCAGGACGCTACGCTCCATATGACTAGCAAGCCAATTCTCAGATAACTGCTATGATGGCTTTTGTTCTACCCACTTAAATGATAGAAGTACTTGCGCTGTACAATCTATAAAGACTGTGTTATCGCCCAGGAAGAACTATTGTTCCAACCACTAAAGATAGATTCAGAAATAACCTGCCTTAGAATTGTCTCTGGAATAGCCTTCCTGATAACGTTCGGGGTTCAGACACACTCTCTAGATTAAAGCTGCTTTGCAACGATTTGTATTGTGAAAAGCGCTAAACAAATAAACTTGAATTCTGAGATGATAAAAATTCTGATATTTTCTCTCAAAATTACAACTTTATATCTCACAATTCTGACTTTTCTTCTCAGAATTGCCAGCTTATATATAGATTTGCAAGTCCCAATATATAAGAGGTGAAAATTGTGAGATATAAAGTCAGAATTGCAAGAAACAATAGTCTGAATTGTGAGATAAAGTTGCAATTCCCATTTCTCAATTTTCCAATTCTCAAAGTTCTGAAATTTTTTCTAGCAATTGACTTTATATCTCACAATTTTCGCAGAATTGCAAGAAAAAACGGCCGAAATAACAAACTCAGAATTATGAGGAAAAAACATAATTGTTCTCAATAATAATCTCAAAATTGTGAGATAAAAAGTCGCAATTACCTTTTTTTTATTACATGGATGAAATAAGCTTCCATAGATTACAACTGGACAGCACTAATCACTTTCCCAGTTAAAATACCTAAAATATCTTTATAACAAGATGAGCAACACTATAAAATATTAAAACTTGTTTTCACAGACTGTAAATGTATTTTGTCTTTTTATCCCACTTTTTTTTTTTTTCACTTGTTTATTCTTAAAGCAAGTGAGAAAAACTGCCAGAGCAGCAAGACAAAATACACTCATAAGATACAGTCTATGAAAACAAGTCTTAGCATTTTATACAGTGTTGCTGCACAAGAAAAACTGTTGTTTTGAGGATTTCTACATGTTTAAATAATGCTAATAACTAATAATGCACACACTCGATTTAAGAAGTATATATATACTTGAGGATAAAAAGTATATTTGGGATCAAGGCTGTGCCTGTGGACATGTGCTTTATCGACATGCAAATAGTGGCTAATGTATAGTTATGAAATCAGTGTCCCTCAAAATAACAGGAGACGCATTAACAGATGTTAAAACCAGAAATAAAAGGGCCTGCTTGATATTAACCAGTACAGCATTTCTGATATGTAGATTAATTTTCCATAACAATCTTCCTCATAGATCTTTTCCTTCACTGCATCCCTGCAAAACTTTCAGTAAATCCTCCTATGACTTTCCAAGGCCACAGCCAGAAGGACCCATCAGTCTGTGCACAAAAAAACCCTGAATATAAATGAAGGAAACAAAAACATATTAAACTGTCTTAATGAGAAAAGCTAAATGATGGAAACGGCTCTTTAGAATAACACACTTTGAACACTTTATGCGGCGGCGTCCACCATTAGTGTTCAGGAGTGGAGGACTGACAGCTCATTTCTCTGGAAGCTATGCTTTAACAAAGTCAGTGATTAATACAGAAAGCCCATTCTCTGAAATGGCTCTTTAAAGTCTCAATTTCCTCTATAATATAACTTATTGCCAAGGATCATTATGAGTCATTTCGGAGCCACTAGAACCCGTTTGAAGTAAACATCATTAGGAAAACGTCTCCACAAATCTGATTACAGTACATCCTTTGATTAAAAGAGGGAGCTAGAACTTGCTCTGAGTGGAGATTTGGTTATGGGCGTAATTATGACAAGCACACAAATATACAGACGCAAATAAATAACTAGGGATACATGAAGAATAAAGACATAACAATAGGATGGTGAATTAGATGGTTGTTGAAATGAAAAGGTCTGTTATTTCCCTAGGGGATGAAGAAAAGCCCGAATCTTCTGCTTTTAGTTAATGGAAACCCATGATACAGGAGTCAACAGCAGCAAACACGTTGTACCTCAGGAACCTCATCAATGCAACTTTCACCTTTATCAGTTCATCATCTTATTTTTTTTGCACTGGATGCGGAGCAGAAAGGAAGTGTCTGTATCCTCCTCGAGCCCATGGATACCAGAAGGGATGTGATGTTGATCCGGCTTTATCCTCTGAGCTGGAGGGGGTGAGGCCGGCCAAAGTCCAAACTCCACAAATTGAGACAACCAGATGACATCTCTGATCCGTCCACGGGACGCTGTGACCGAAGGGCTGTGTGAACCTGCAAGCACACAGAAGTTCACTTTAGTGTTCAGTTTCTTACAGCTAATGGCACATATTCACAGGTCTGACTGGTTGGAAGGTCAATAAAATAGACTAGTGAGGTCCGATCTGTGAACAAACCGCCGTTTGAACTGAACGATTCAGTTGAATTGATTCGCAAAGTGTTCATAAGACACTTGACTGGAAGGGAAAACAGTTTGGAAGTGAACCAGCTGATCTTCATTCCTAATGAAGGTCTCATTAAGTGTGACACCATAAAAGCCAGAAAACTTTAACTACTGCATGAATATAACTAAAAACACTAATTTATGAAACATAATCAAAAACACTGCAGTATTTGTAAAATAGTATTTAAATACGATAATATAAATAATTGAAAATAAATCACATTCATGGAACACATTTTTGTATCTCTTTTTATTGACAAGAATTGTCAAAATATTAAAATAAATCAGACTTCCTTTTTACGTCAGCTGGGGCAGTTTTTCATCATTGCACAAATAAATAAATTCTATATATTCTTTGCATTAATAATTATATATATATTATCAAAATGATATATTATTATACAGTATATAATACTATCTTATATATAATTATACGTAATAATATATATAATTATACAATTTACATCCATTTGGATAACAGTTTTAACATAATCTAATAAACAATGTGATGAATATTTGTCAGGCATACATAAATGAAACCAGTTAGATTTCTGTAATAATACTAATGAAATTAATGTTTTAAATGCACAACATCCAGATTTATATATTTATCATCAATAAATCCAATTTGTTTCTACGTTTTAACATGAATATTCCACAGTTAGCTATATTTTAACCATGTTTATGCTTTTTTACGTTTTCACAATGAACAGATTCATGCTGATTCTGAGCAATTTTAATAAATAGGACTATTTAAAAATCAAATAGTTGCAAATAGTTAATAAACAATAGCATGATTTTTTTGAGCGCAGAAATCGTAGCGGTTTCTTACCTGCTTTATTTATGCATGACTGACAAATATGCATCACATGTTTATATGATGCATGCAAAGTTTATTTGGTTGTTTATGCTAAAACCGTGTCCAAATGGATGGGAATTTTATATGCAATTCAAATACATACATCTTAAATTTAGGCCCAAATATTTTTGGAGTGCAATAAATGTATTTAATTATATATTAAGTCTACATTCTTATGTGTACATAACTCATTGACTTCAAACCGAAACATCACATCACACAATGGTGCTCTTGTTACCAACAGACAGCCAAAATCCGGCACTGTAAAATCCAGCAGAAATCCGTGGGACATCTTCATGAGCGTCTGGAGGATGCTGTCCACACGTGGGCTTTGAGCGCGTGTTTTTCTGTGTGTACTGCATCCTGTGCCTCTGTGTGTTGCACTATACGCTCCCAATGCGCCGGTTTCCAAGCAACCCGTGTAACACAGGGAGCGTCGTCCGTTGGCGTCTCTGAACTGTGTGGAAAGTGTAGGATGAAGAGAAGAAGGAGATGATTAAGCTGACTGCGAAAACTCAAACTCGCAGCTGGCCAGTGCAGTGCATCGCTTACTTTCCATTGCGCAGAGCACTGGATTTTGTTAAAAACAAGCTAAACATTGCACACGGTGTGTTTTCATTCAACTGATTTTCCCAAGCCATCTCTTTAGACACAAGCAGACTGGAGCTGACAAGCCAGCGCCGTGTCAATCACACCAGAGGATGTTCTCTCGGCTTGTTTTCTTCCTGCTCTGATCCTCGGGGAGTTTGCACTAACCAGCATGGCCCTGGGCTTCCTTTCAGGGGCTGAGGGCATGGAGTGCTGCTGCTGTTTTGCAACAGAGACCATACAAAACCATACAGAGCTGGACCGAATTACCAAGTCAACTCTGAAGAGTGCTTCTGTTTGGAGTAGACTCCAAATCTGGGATTCTGCGGCTCAATCCAATTAACTGCAGTGTGGCGAACGCCAATTTAAAAACAAACGCAAAACAAGAGCAAACAAATACCAAAAAAGTGGGAAAAAGTAAAGATAGACACCCACATTTCATTAAAGCAATATTCTGTGTTAAGTGTAGTAAAGCTCAATGAGCAGCAGCTGTCAATAATGAAAAAGTGATTTAAACTCATTTCTCAGTTTGTAAAAACAAATTAAAACTGTTTACAGCAATTAGCATGAATGAATGTTAAATGCGCCACTATTATACTGTTTCAAACACTGCTTGTTTACTGAAAAACTGATCCAAATTAAGTGAGTTTATGCATAAAACAAGAAAAGGGGAAAACAGAAAAATAATCCTGTTGACCCTTTGAGTTAAGTTTATTTTTCCTAAACTCGCTTTAATTTTGATACATTTTTCAGTAAACAGGGCTTAATATCTCATCAAAATTAAGTGAGTTCATGCTTAAAACAAGAAAAGGGGAAAACGGAAAAATACGTTGATTTTTCTTGTTTTAAGCATAAACTAACTTTTTTTTTTTTTACTGTAACCTGTAAATGTAACTTGACTTTTATATATTTTTTTAAATATTTTTAATGGATTTTTTTACTTTAACAACTATCCATAAAGCACTGAAAAAATGCTTACGTGAAAAAATGACATCAATAACACAAACGTTTATCCACTAATTAGCACAAATAAATGTGCCACTGCTACACTGTTTTAGTCATTGCATGTGTTCGTATGAGACTGTTTTATAAACATTTGATAACTATCTATAAAGCACTGTTTACATGAAATAAATTATGCCAATAATAACACACAAAAGTTCATCCACTTATTAGCACAAATGAATGTGCAACTGCTACACTGTTTTAAAGTCATTGCATGTGTTCATATGAGACTGATTTGATATACTTTATTTCAGTAACACATCAAAGTTAACCTGTAAATGCTATAACCAAAATAATGTTTTTAAATATTCCAGAGCAATCGGCCTGTAGGCTCCGCTTAAGTTCTGTAAGTGTGTTACTGAATCAACAGCACGTCTCAGATGCCGTTGACAGAACTGAAGTATTTAACCCAGAATATTGCTTTAAAGCAGAGATCAGCCCCCTTAAACAGTCATGTTACGACATCGGCAGGCTAAATCTCAGCAGACAGAGCAACACTCGGAGCTAATTAACCCATTAGACTCAAACTTCCCAACATGCACTTGAGATCAGTTCCTATCAGAGTTTGCCAACGGAGAGGCCCTTTGAAACGGAGCCTCTCAACTCTTCTGAAGAGCGTCCCAGACGGTTCCTTTGGTATTTTCTAATAAAAAACAGCAACGTTTCCTCCACATAAACGTCCGTTTGTAAACCACCGGGTTCCCACTTCTTCCTGGTGGTCATTTAAATGAGATTGACCTAAAAAAGAGCCGGCGTGACTCACGAAGACGTGGGAGAGGAACGCATGACTAAGATGACTGAACAATATCAACCACAGATGAAAGTGTCTCAGCTTTTTATTGGTTACCTAAAGCAGACTCCAGCCTGGAACGTACCCCACCAAACACCTCCGGAGTGAAAAGTCACAAACCACGCAACAGATCTCAGCTTTAAGAGCTTTCTTTAATTGCACTAAAATGACAGAATGTGAGACAACAGAGATGCAATAAAGTAGGGCTTGGTTTAGCCAAAAATCTTTCACTCACCCTCATGTTGGTCCAAAGCATTTTTGAAGGAGGTTCATGCTGCTCTTTTCCATGCAATGAAAGCCTGGACTGATCAAGGACTGACAAGCTGCTAAAGTGAAAAAAAAAAAAAAAAGTACTATGAAAAGGTCTGAATATGCGGTAGCACATAAGATTTGAAAGTCACAGTGGAGTGGAAGAGATTAAGTCTTCTTCCTCACATAAAACTAAATATTATGACTTCAGAAGACTCAGAATATAGCACATACACACATTCATAGCTTTTTAGACCCATAGTCAAATAATAAAATAAAATAAAAAATAATTTCTTGCTATTTACTATTGCTTTTAGTATTGTCTTTTTCACTTTTCCGTACAAATATCTTAAAAAAAAAAAAATCAAGATACATGTATGAGAAGCAAAATGACAAAGATCTTGTTTTCTGAAGAAAAAAAAAAAAAATCAAAATGGTCTTGCTTAAAACAAGAAAAAATATCTGCATAACAAATATCTGGGATAATAAAAGTAATCTTGATTTCCCTTCGAGTTTACTTTTCTTGATTTATTTCTTGTTTTAAAGCATTAACTCACTTAACATTCTTGCTTTAAGCATGAACTCATTTTCCAGAAATTTTTCAGAAAACAAGACTTTATAGGGCCTATCTTAAGTAATTACCTCCCACATAAATGTATCTTGATTTAATAATGTTTAGATATTTATACTGGAAAACAACACAAAAATACTACGTGAGATAACGCAGTTTTGCGTTCCATATAATAAATGAGGGTTAGGAACAAAATACGGTTAAGCACACGGTGAACACTGGTTTTTGGGTGAATTTCTCCTTTAAGAGGCATGCTTGGCCCTTTTTCTGCAGATGCTCTAAAGATCCTGATGGTAGTTTTGCTTGGAAGACTATTCAGGTCAGTCTTGCCACGGGCGCCCCCCTTGGGCCTCACTAAACCGTGCTACATCAGGTGGCTCGGTGCATGGTTTTTTTTCGGAGGTACCTGGACTGAACATGCCAGTTTCTATAAATGTTTGCAAGAGAAAAAAAACCTGACAGGTAAAAAGGGCTTTTGATGGGATAAGGAGGACAGTGAGAAAGGGAGGCAGGCGTGCGTATGTGAACTGTGGTGCCAGGCCCCTGGTCACAATCACACAGATTTGCATTCCACTCTAACAGGATATTGCCCAAAGTCCCCCTGAGGAGCTTAGCCGTCGTGTTGGACCTTAACTCCCAGTGTGCACTGCATCGCTCTCTCACACACACACACACACACACACACACAAATAGACACTTTTTCTCTCTCCCCCTCCCTTTTTTTCTCTCACAGCTTAATCCCCTCTGTCTCCTTTCTTTCTTTTAGCTCTTTCAGTTTAACTCTCACACTCTTCATCATCTCAGCTGCTCAGCCCTCCACTCGTCTGCTCATGGTCCCCTCAAACATTTAATTAGCTTATCGGCGCACATCTCTTCTCTTATGGTTCATTTTCAATCAGGCACAAACAGAAAAGTTCAATATAAGTATAGAACTTTTTAGAAGTGTTATATATGTGTTTTGACATGCACTCTCTCTGAAAAAAAAGTACAAAAGTTGTCTCTGGTATCGTCCCCTTTTGAAAGGTACTAATATGTACTTTTAAGGTACAAATATGCACCTTTGGGAGTAAATAAGGTACAAAAGTGTACCTTTTGAAAAGTTACCACTATGCAATTGCAAAAATATAGTTTGTTTATATTCTTCAAGTAGTCTTGGGTACATTTACGGCCTGCATGTTTTAATACTATGCATGCCATATAAGGCTAACTAAATTTGCATTTCCTGAAGGAAACAGCAGTGCTTGCAAAATAAAGGTGCAAAGGTGCAGTAATACTAGGCTTTGAGCATGTTACATTACTTTTGCACAACAAATATGGTATATGGGCAATGATGACAGTAATTTTTTGTTTTTAATCAATTAATAATGCATCCATTAAATTCTAAACGTTAAAATATACCATTGTTTAGTCAAAGTTCACCTGCTGTGTATGTGTGCGTATGAATGCAACACACGCTGTGAGTGCGCCTATAGATTTAGGTAAGCTTAGGAAAACAAAACCAATTTCCAAATATAGCTGCAAGCAGCAATTAAGGGGCCAAGCACTCCAAAGGCAAAATGAGGAGCGAAGCATGGCATGGAGAATCAGACCAACTGCAACAATGAGTAATTAAAGCAAGTTTAGGATGATTTGAAGCAAAATGGCTGAAAAATCATAAACATAACTTCTCGTAATATGATTTAATGGCTTATCACTTTTGACCAATAGGTGACGCTGTTATCAATTCGATGTGGTGTGTTCTGTGTGAGGTAACAATGGCACACACAAAGTTTGGTTTCAATATGTCAAAGCTTTGCAGAGATACAGCCTCAGACATAATCTGGCATTATGCCTCAAATTTGTTGCGGCGCTATACAAAAATGGTTTTGTCTATCAACACGAAATCCATAACTTTTTGTCAGCACTGTCTGATGATGATCTGATTCGATTTTGGTGAAAATCGGACCAACAGTCAAGGAGGAGTTTGAAAAAGTAGGTTTTCAACATAAATCAAAATGGCGGACAGGAAGTTCGGCCCACAATTGCCGAATTGATATCTATGTTGTCGGCATGACCCAAGGAATATTTTGAAACCAGTTTCATTATAATAGGCTAATGCAATCAAAATTATTAGCATTTTTGGAAATGTCATAATTAATGGTTAATGAATGGTTTATCACTCTTGACCAATAGGTGGCGCTTTTACCGAAATTATGTGGCCTAGTCAGTGTGAGATGACAATGGCACATACAAAGTTTGGTGTAAATATGTCAAAGCTTTGCAGAGATACAGCCTCAGATGCAGTTTGGCATCTTTCCAGCAAATTTGTTGATGCGCTAAACAAAAACCTTTTCGTATATCAGCACGAAATCCATTACTTTTTGCCAGCTTGGTCTGAATATGATCCAAGTTAAATTTGGTGAAAATCGGACTAACGGTCTAGGAGGAGTTTGAAAAAGTAGGTTTTCAACATGAATCAAAATGGCGGATAGAAAGTTCAGCCAATTATGGCAAAATTGGTATCGATGTTCTCGGCATGATCCAAGGAATCTAACAAAACCAGTTCATTACAATAGGCTAGTGTAAACAAAAGTTATTAGCATTTTTAGAAATTTCATTATAATTTTTTATAAGCCAAACTTTTTGAGTACCATCAGGGCATGGCGCCGAAGAAGCATACCAAGTTTCGTAACGATACGTCAGTGCGTTATATATAGCATTTTACTACAAAATTCTAAATGGCCGACGCCCAAAATGGCTGACATGGGAAAATTGGGTATCATTCCACTCGGCATGCTGCATCACAACAGTTTTGTGATTTTTGGCCAAACCATTCAGAAGTTATAAGCAAAAATATGCATTTTTCATATCTCCTGACCACTAGGTGGCACAACGCCGAAACACTGCATATAGTCTCAGGTCATGCTTGTTATAACACACACCAAGTTTGGTCTCAATACGCAAAACCGTTAACGGAGATACAGCCTCAGATCCATTTTTGATTGCTTTTCGTCAAATTTGTTCGTACGTTATTCGAGAACAGTTTGACTAATCAACTTGAATTCCATAACGTTTTGCCAGCATGGTCTGAAGATGATCTGAGCCAATTTTGGTGAGAATCAGACAAACAGTCTAGGATGGGTTCGAAAAAGTAGGTTTTTCGAACAATTAAAAATAGCGAAAAAACTAAACCTTTTGGTATTAATTCGACTCGGCATGAGCCAAGGATTCAGAGGAAAAAAAGAAATTTCCTTCTGTGTCTTATGGTTCAAAAGTTATTAGCATAAACATGAGTGAAACTTCGGACAAGTGGTGGCGCTAAAGAGTTTGAGGTAGAGACTCCAAACTTGCTATGGTTAATGTTGGGACTGTCCTCTATCAGTGTGCCAAATTTCACAACTTTCCCGCAGAAGAAGAACTTGTACTTGGCCCCTAATGAAATATTGCTGGAAAAACCAAATGTTGACAGTTTTTTGGAGTGTAGGAAGTTAAATGCGTGATTGCAAAAATATTGTTTGTTTATATTCTTCAAGTAGTCTTGAAAGATACCATGCATGCTACATAATGCTACACTTGCTATCAACAAAATTTGCAATTCCTTTATCACAACAAATATCAAAATTCAGTATGAAATCTGATATCAAAATGAAGAATAATCCTAATTGATTATGCACATGTATAATGATGATATCACTGTCAATTTACCATTCTATCACTGTGAGTCTATGGGACATTTCCAAAGCTTAATAGTATAGTATAAATTTTACCAAAAACAGAGAGCACAGACTGAAATTATCCACAACGCAAAGTTTGAATCTGCATATTAAGCAGTTCGCGGCTGAATTAATTAGGTTTAGAACCTATTTAGCCATCCCTATTTAGGAATATCAATATTACGCTACCTTGCAAACACTGTAAAATATTGTATGTCGCATTCTACAAAGAGAATTCACAGAAAATACTTTTTTTATATACTCAATTATTGTCTAGTTTAACTAATATTAAAAGTTTAATCATAGCAATTAAATAAAAAAAAAGGCTGTTGGAATTAGGCAAGCAACAAAAGGTAAACAGAATAAAAAATAAATAAAAATGAAACTAATAGATATCATGTTTTCCTCATTGATTGACTGCATTAAGAATGGCAAACATTTTTTTGCATAAGTTTATTAAAACCTTGGGAAAATATACAAATGATGCATTCCCCGTAAAATACCTCTCCAATCCCCCCCATCCTGCCAAACGCAGGCCATTAACCATTTCCTACGAGCTGCTGGTAAAAGGAAGGAAACAGCATGCCAGGCTTTCACACAACATGCAGCGCTAGGAAAGTTCTACGCCCTTGAAGTCCAGCGAGCAGGGGTAAAAGTCATGCTAATTGACGGGCGAGCTTAATTCAAATGAGCCCATAACTAAAATCGGACTAGAAAGAGAGTGGGGCGACCTGCGATAGGGCGAAACTTTCGAAACCTTTCAATCGGCCCCGGCGTCAAACCACTTTGATGTGCTCGACGCTTTTCATCAGTTTCCTCTCCGCGTATGAAAAAGCCATTTCAAGTACAAAGGCTCGTGAGCACATTTGTAATTTGTCTCCTCTTTCGAGAACAAATGGACGTGGCAAAAACCATTTTCCCTTGTTCTGAGAGAGATCTGAATGAAAGTGCATATGAAAGGTGCGAGGCAGGAGGGAGCGGCGCTGAGGACGGATGGATGGAAAGGGGGGCACGATCTCGACCTGATTTTTCACTCAAGTCAAACCCTATTTCACATCAGGCTGTTGTAACACCTTGTCCGCGGGCTCTCTGAGAGAGAAGGACATAAATGAGGAGGGTAGAGAGGTGAAAAAACGGGGCGAACAAGAATAAAGGTCCAAATCCTCGGCTGTGAAAACTGTGGCACCGGGGAAGTGTATGCACGCCTTGTTTGGCTAATAACCTGGAGTCTTGTAAAATGTGAATGAGGGAGTCCGAGGAGCTTATAATTTCACACCCGTGAGGCAGGGGCGATGAGTGTTTATTGAAGGAGGACAGCTCCACGTTGGTGGTTCCCCAGGCCGTCACACACCACAGTGGTGAAGCCAAGACCACTGACTCCTGGAATGAAAAAGAGGTCTGGATCAGTCAACAAACCCACACTGAGAGATGCAACAGATGCATCACGGTTACTTACCGTAAGCATGCACTAATTTCATTCAGAGGCCCCAGTGTGACAAACGTATTCACTTGAACCTATGGATATCAATCCCACGTGCACTTATACTTGCTTTTTAAACATCTTTTATTGATACTTTTAAAAGCAATACTTTGGCTACCAATTAAGGCAAGACAGCCTAGGTAAATAGGATAAGAAAAAGTAACTCATAGATATCATGACACACCAAGATTTCTTAAATGTTATGTTTAAATAAAATGGTATGAAAAGCCAAACAACCTACCAGCCCAACATCACAAAACTGACTATTGCATAAAAAAAAACAATGTTTTTGCCTGTAGCGTCTTGCCTTCAGGTTCAATAGTATCTATTCCGGAGATGATCCCTTAAAATCAGCACAAAAAGCCTGCAGATCACTTCAAGGCCTTCATTTAAAAGACCTCGTTCATCTTTATAGCTGAAGTGTGCAATTTCACCAGTGTTTCCCATATTCATATGCTGAAACATCTATAAGCAAGTGTTTAGTCAACCCTCTACGGACACCTTGGCAACTGAATCGCCATTGGCTAGTAAATTTTTTTGTTTACTCGCCAGACTGAAGTACTATACTTATATATAGCTGTGTATACGCTGGTGCTTTTTTTGGTCATTTAGTGTTCCTGTAAAAAATTGAAAAAAAAAAAAAACTAACAATAATACTGAGAAGATATTATTATTATTATTGTTATTATTATTATACGAATTCTACTAATAAGAACAATATAAAAACGCACTAACGATAAATAGCACAGATCGCTTGACGGAGAGTTTGTTTCAACATCTTAACACTGCATAACTGGCTCAACCAATGGCGTGAGTTTGGGGGCGGGACTATCTGTTTGCCTGACCAATGGTGTGTTTGCTGGAAACCTGTTTGAAAACAGCCATTATTGTTGCAACTCTGATTGCTGACAAAATTACATACATTACCTTATATACAATTCTTTAAAGAGGGGCAATATGAGTGTGTGCGCACTGAATCGCTGAGGTAGCTTTAACGAACACCGTCTCCCTAATGATTAAAAAAAGTCTTGCCATCAATATCTAAATCTGCATTTTAGAACCATATCCCCCCAAAAGAAAACTTCAATATCTTTTTGATCTTGCTCTGTTTTAATTGTGGCCCTGTATAAAAGGTATAAACAGACAGCTTTCGCTCTACACGTTAATGGGTATTTGCAGGAGAGAGGGGAGTGTGTGCGTATGTGTGTGTGCTCCTCACCGCGGCAACCAGAGCTCTCGGAGGAGAACACTGCTGTAATTATAAAAGGAACAAAGCACTGGAGACTAAAAACACATGAAAGGAAAAGAAAACATACAAGCCAATCAAGGCGCTCACAAACACGCTCTCTCATGCACAAACACACACACCGATGCACTCGCACGTTCACTCTTAGCCCTGCGTTTTGTCCAGCAAAGTTACATTACAAGAATGCAATGATGCTTTATCAATCGCAAAATGGCATTCAGACACCACCAGATACATGTCTATTTTTAAAGTACATCAGAACAGACCCTAATTGATGATCTAGTACATGCATCGCACAAGAACCGATCAGACAGCCCTCTTAAACTACCTTCTCCTAGAGGAAACGATAAAACCCTAAAAGCAGGAAGGAAGTCATGAAAGGAACAGGTCTGGATAAGGTGGGGTCACTATGACACACACACACACACACACACACACACAGGTTTTAGTCAAAGATTCAATGAACAGCTACCTGGGTGTTTGCAGCCATATTACCTGCCCATTTTAAAGGAACTGTTCATTAAAAAAATTGAAATTCTGTCATCATTTGATCACCCGCCTGCGATTACAATCTTTATTTCTACTGTGGAAAACACAAAACAAAGGTATTTTGAAGAACATTATTGTTCAATAATGAAAGTCACTAGGTGGTCCAGGTTTTTTTTGGACACCAGCGTTTTTCAAAATATCTTCTTTTGAGTTTTGCAGAAGAAAGACACAAAGGAGAGTAAAAGATGACAGAATTTTCTTTCTTTTTTGGTTAAAATATCTCTTTCAAGCCTTTAGAAAAATAATTAGCACAATTGACCAACTTTGTATAATTTTGATCCTAACATTCTAATATTGATAAAATTACACCAGCATGACTATTTTAATTTCACTGTATATACATGTATATAATTTATATTCATATATTTTGTTTTAGCTGTACAAAATAATTTGTTTTTGTAATTTTGCATACTGTACATATCTAAAAAAAAAAAAATGAAATAAAAAAAGAAGTAGTTGTGCATAATGTACATATACACTACCATTCAAAAGTTTGGGATCAGAACGATTTTTTATGTTTTTTCAGGAGTTTCTTATGCTCATCAAGGCTGCATTTATTTGATCAAAAATACAGGGAAAAAAATTTAATATTGTGAAATATTATTACGATGTGAAATAACATTTTTCTATTTTAATATACATTAAAATCTAATTTATTCCTGTGATGCAAAGCTGAATTTTCAGCATCATTACTCCAGTCTTCAGTGTCACATGATCTTCAGAAATCATTCTAATATGCTGATTTATTATCAGTGCTGGAAACTGTTGTGCTGCTTAATATTTTTTTGGAACCTGTGATCATTTTTTTTCAGGATACTTTGATGAATAAAAAGTTAAAAAGTTCAGCATTTATTTAAAATAGAATATTTTCTAACAATATACACCACAGTTCAAAAGTTTGGGGTGAGTACATTTTTATTCTTTCAATTTTTGAAAGAAATTAAAACTTTTATTCAGCAAGGATATGTGTTAAATTGATAAGAAGTGATAGCAAATATTTATATTTCTTGAAAAGATGAATTGAATAAATGCTGTTCTTTTTAACTTTTTATTCATCAAAGAATCCTGAAAAAGTATCGCAGTTTCCCAAAAAATAATTGGCAGCACAACTGTTGCCAACATTGATAATTCTAATAAAAAATCAGCATATTAGAATGATTTCTGAAGGATCATGTGACACTTTAGACGGGAGTAATGGCTGATGGAAATTCAGCTTTGCATCACAGAAATAAATTATATTTTAAAGTATATTAAAATAGAAACCATTATTTTGTATTGTAATATGTAATAACTAATAATTGTAAGATTACTGTTTTTTTTCTGTATTTTTGATCAAATAAATGCAGCCTTGATGAGCAGAAGAGACTTCTTTAAAAAA